TCCTTCATGTGGGCTGAGTTACACCCTCCTTTTGTCATTGAGCCTTGGTTGCTATTGGCAGATCAATGTGAGGGACTTACTCAGGCCAGTCAGCTGCAAGGACTGGCTATAACCACTGACCACCAACCTCCGCCCTGCGTGGAGTGTCAGCTGTGTGGGATCAGAGTGCTGGGGCTCTGTTGTGGTCTGTAGCTGTCCATTGGGTGTGCTGGCTCTGAGATTACCCAGGTCGTGCAGGCCAAGGTCAGCCACTACCTGTGTTTTGCCTGGGGCTACCCTACCTGAGCTATAAAGCAATCTGAGACGACTGCTACTTGTGCTGGGCTTTGCATTTCCCCAAAGAAGCCAAGCTGTGAATCTAGGCTGGCTTCTGCTAGTGCCAGGTCTGGTGACACTTAGCAAGAGGTACTGGGTCTAGGAGCTCCCTGAGGGGATCTTGCTTGTTTGAGAAATGTAGAAAGTTGTGAAGGATGAGGTAACACCTGCCATTCATATGGAAAAACAGTTTGGTGGACCCACCCCACCAAGGGAAGTTGGATGGGACTGGGTCTCTGGGCATCTCCTGAGTGGGGTAGTGTTAGCCAGGTTGATGGCATCTCAGATATGGTACCCACCTGCTGGCTCTGTGGCTCTGTGTAGGAGGGTTTCCAAAGAGGACAATAGCCTGTACCTGCATTTCTGTCTGGTAGAAAGCTGTCCCCCAGCTTTCACCTTAATGTCAGACACTTCAGTTCCTCCCCGTGTGCCAATGGTGCCTCTCAAGTGGCTACCCTGGTGCTGGTGCTAAGAGGGAGTGAGTCTGAATAAGTCTGTCTGTGGGTCCTTAAAGGGAACTGCTTGGGACTCCAGAAGTTTCTACCACCAACTCAGTCCCTGCTAGTTGTTGCAGCCAGAAGTTATGGGAACTTGTCTTCCTGGCACTGGAACCCAGGGCTGGAGTTCCTAGTCTGGAACTGGGACTCCTCACTCCTGAGATTTCCATCCCAAGTTTTTATCCATCCCATGTGGATGTAGGACAAGCCCATTGTACATCTCTGCCCCTCTTACCAGTCTGGATGGACATGGTTCTTTAATTCCATAGTTTTTAGTCTTCTCTTCTGAGTGATGGTTGTTCTATAGTTTAGTTGTAATTTTGATGTGGTTATGCAAGGAGGCAAGCCGTGTTTAGCTGTGCCGCTGCCTTTACTGAGAGTTTATCACTGGCTAACTCTTGATTTCCTTTTTAAAGCCCTTGAAGCTTGAGTGTGATATTTTAAATGCAAAAAAAAACAATGGACATATAAAATTAAATTATAGAAAAATTGATGTGTAATTAAGAATTTTCCCCCAAACATCCTGAATATGTGTTATCTCAAAGGATGTTGATGAATTCTTAAAAGATGTCACAAATAACTGGAGACTGTATCTCCAAAATCACTTGTAATTTTTGATATAAAGGTTATTAGAAACTATATACATGCTACTATTCACCATGAAGATTAATAGAAAACTTTTATCTCAGCTGATATATCTTAGCTAATAAGTTTGGTTTGTGTGACAATTTTTACAATGCAAAATCACTTAGAATCATTTTTAAATAACTTAGATGTAGCCTAATGTCTGAATGTGGGTACACATAATGTGTGCTTATGAGTTTGTTTAACATAATGTTTGACACATTTCTGGCATATGGTTAGTTATGTAAGTTTTAATGAAAAATACAGCCACATGAAAGAATGAGGGATGAGTCTGTGGGCTCCACCATTTAATCCTATGTCTATCTTACTGTCTGTTTTTTTAATTAAGGACTGTGTGTGTTTACTGAATTGGTTAATTACCAATAGTAAATTTAGAAACAACTTTATTATTTCTTTTGTATTTTCTTTCACTTCAACTAGATGATGAGCTCCTTGAATGGGAATGCCTCTTAATTCAATTTTTGTATCTTATGTCTAGTTCATTTTAAGTGCTCAACAAATATTGACTGAGAGAGAGAAAGAGAAATTGACTGAGATCAAGATTGAGATTGATTGATTTGTTGTTCCACTTATTTGTGCATTCATTGGTTGATTCTTGTATGTGCCCTGACCAGGGATCAAATCCACATCCTTGGTGTGTTGGGATGGTGCTCTCAACACCTGAGCTATCCGGCCAGGACCTCAATAAGTATTTTTTGATTGTCCATTTTTCTGAAATTTACTCTATCCCATCTTTTGGACTTTTCGATGTCTTTTTTCCCCTTTATTTCTCTTGACTACTTTAGAAATCTCATCCTCTTTTGTTCTTTTTGAATATCCCTCCCTTTAGTCCATTGGGTAGGTGGGTCTTCCTCACCCCCAGAAACTCCTTGATACTGTGTATCAGGATGTACACACATTTATGTGGACAGCACTGGGCACTGTGCTGCATGCATACGTGGTGCTCGATCAGATAAACATAATTATGTATGAAGAACTGTATGTTAGGAAGTGTTTTTTAATGAATACTTTTATTTATGATACTTTAATAAATAGTATGATTTTAATTGGAAGTATTACCATACAAATACTCCTTGTAATGAGGGGAAAAGTAAACCTATGGATCCAAGTGTACAAAGTTATCCTTCCATAGATTTATTGAAATATAGTGTATATGTATTTTTAGCCATTTAAACATAAAATACACACACAATTTTATTATTGTGAACAAGAAAGTAAATTCATGTGTTTCTTTTTCAGATTGTTTTCTTTTTCTTCTTTTTTTGTCCTTAAAGGAAGGGGTTTTTTTTATTTTATTTTAATTGTTGTTACAGTACAATTTTCTATCTTTTACTCCCATCCCAGCCCACCCACCCAACCCTCCCTTCCTCCCTCCCATTTCCACTCACCCCTAGTTTTTATCCATGTGTCCTTTATACTTGTTCCTGTAAACCCTTCCCCTTTCCCCCTGAAATTCCCTTGAAATTCCCTCTTAAAGGAAGGGTTTTGAGCCATATGTTAGCCTGGAACATGCAGTGCAGTCTGCACCACCTGCAGCGGGGCTAGATCGGGAAGACCACCATGTCCCCAGATTGCTTTTCTTTAAAACGAATATTAACCTTAGCTATGCTAGGAAAACATTTTCTATCATCCCTCCCCATCCCTGCAAATTGAGAGAACTGCATTACCTTAATATATCTAGGAGTTATATAATTATGTGTTCTATTAAAGCACCCTGAAAAGTGGAACGTTACCAATTGACTTAATGGTGAGACTGGATCAGGTGAAAGTGAATTGCCAACAGTGTCCCAGATAAAGTCACTATTAGGACAGTATCAAATGATCCTACTGGTAATTTTGTTTGAAGAAACATTTAAGAGTGAGTGGTATTATATAACTCAAAGAAAGAAAAATACATGCCATGCATGTTGCAGTAGTATTTGTGAGGAGATAAATCAGAGTTAATGATGCTGAGAGGTTCCAAGGTTTTTCTGGGAGAGTCAGAGGGGTCCATTTGAATAGAACATCTGTCTTGTCTCTGCTGTTACATCATTAGGCTCTCTCTGAACTAAGTCTAATCTAACCATGGACCAATGGCTTAATACAACATAGAAATTACATTATTACTTAAGCCACAAAATAAGTCTACCTGCTATAGAAGAAAAGCTTAAAAGCAATCATTTTGAAAAGGTTTTTTAAACTGCTGATTTCAATGCTATGAATTCCATGTTTTAATCCCTCCTCTTCCACTTTCTCTCCTTCTCTCAAGAAAGTGACATAATGGCTTTCAGTTGTGCCTCTACACACAAAATGTTTCTGTATTTCTTTTGTAGTTCAACCAGTCAGACTACTCTGTAGGTGTTGAGTAGGAGGTGTGATAAGGTCTGGGAGCCAGTACAAATTCTCTTCCTTTATCACCATCCTTTACACTGATGTCATCAAAGTGTACTAAAGGCAGCTGTGGTTTAGTCCATGGCTCTGGTCAGAGAAGTATCCACCTTGCTTACTTTAAAGTGGGTAGACTTGTCTTGGTAGGTATAACTCAGATGTGCTAAGTATAATATTTATTTCAAATAGGATGGGCCAGCTGACAATTTTCTATTTCAGAATTTACTTTCTAAAGACATTGCAGAATAGAATGCCTTAGTGACTATTTATCTGAAATTAAACTTGGTGTGTGCATTGCCAGTATCTACCTCTGTAAAACAAAATAGTTATCTTTAGAAGCTTACTGATATATTGGGCAAAAGGTGTTTCATATTGCTTCCCATTATTTGGTACATACTAGATTTCATTTGATTAGGTAGGATTTTTATTTAGTAAAATTTCATTATAATAAATTTGCTCTTTGTAAACCTTGAAATTATTGTTATGTTTTAGTGTAATTATTATAATATGGTTCTGAAAAATTTCAAATCCCCTCTTAACCTGACTCTTGCTGATAATGGTTTGTGGAACCACCAACTTTTAAGGGTCATTGGGATCTGAAGATTTAACTACTTTTTAGCCCTGTGTAGATTAATAAAGTCCTCTGTGCATTTTTCTTCATCTGTAAAATTGATTTAGTAATAGGTACCTGTATCATAGAGATCCTGTAAGAATTAAATGAGTTAATACTTATAAAATATTTAGACAAGAGCCTGGAACTTAAGAAATAGATGTTAGCCACCATAATAAGAATTATTAATTTTTATATTTTGTAGAGATTGAAACATTCTTTACGTATAGTTGATGGATTGGTTTAGCAAATAAATTTTGTTCAACTGAAATTCAAGATCTATTTTTCCATGTCTACATATTAGCAAGAAGCTAATTCACTTAACTAATTAAGGGGATGTTTACTAAATTCATGCATTGGAATGTATTAGGCATTTTGGAGAATACAAGATCATTTCTCTCAAGAAACTTTTACTTAAAACACTTAATATAAGAGAAGGAGAAATGCCATATGAGTAAGTGGCTAGAGTATATCAGATGTGGTATGGAAAACTGGCTTATTTGAACTCAGTGAATCTGACACTTGGTAAAAAATTGTATGACAAGCACATTATTTTTCTTGAGCAGGTTTCTGCATGTTTGTGCTAAGCTTGGTGAAGAAGCATTATCGACTACAGTTTTATATGGTACGTATTAATCATTATTCTGTAGGTATCATAGAAACACGTAACTTTACTTTTTTCTGTAGTAAGAAGATAAAATGTAACCAATTTCTAATGTCCAAATATGAAGGATATTTCAAATTTTGGATGACTGTTAAGTATAAAATGTTGAAGATGAAACATTTTTGAGAATTTTGAAAGTTTAACTGTTTTCAAAGTTTCCTTAAAACTTTTTCTTTTAAATATTTTTAAAGGCTATAAAATTAAAGCCAAGTATTTGGATTCCCTAAGTTTGTAGAAATATAGGAACCCAGAGATTCCTAAATAGTAGGTCTGGGAAGCATTTATTTCTTGCTATGGGAGGTAACTATGCTTGACTTTCTTTTAGTTGACTACAACAAGGAACTAAGCATTTATAATCTTAGTAGCTATGGTTAGTCATAAAACTGAGTAATTCTTTTTGGCCTAGGGTATTTTATCCAGTTTATCATGGAACAGTGTTCAGTGTTTTGTGAAATTTATCATGTGTATGATGAACTTTTCTTATTTTCTTAAAAGATAGATACTTAAATGACTAAAATGAAAAATACAGCATTTAGATGTGAATTCATGTATTAGTAAGGCTTGTTTTGGTTTTGGTATATATTTCCTATTCGTTATGCTTTGTTTTTCTCCATTAAGACTTCCTGCTGAGCATTAGTGTTGAGAAATTGTAATGTATCTTACCTTTCTAATTTCTGGAGATCTTGAGAGGAAAAAAGTAAAATTCTCAATGAAAAATCTAGCAACCATCAAGACAAATTAGAAATAATAGGATCTCCTATGAAAATGGAAATGGTGCCTGTTGGAAAAATACCATTTTTGCACTTTTAAGCAACCAGGATAAAAGACAATTGGATCCTTTAAGCAGATAAATAAAATGAAACACCAATATAACATATTATTTGCTGAAATAGAAAAATAGGTTTATTTTGAAAAAGCACTTTATAAATTCCAAACTTATGACACTAGTACATAGAAATGTTAGCCTTTTTTAATTCACATTCTGCTCATACCTGTGATGCTAAAAGTCACTGAGGTGGCATCTCTCGGGCTAGATGAAACTGAAGCACAGAGGGCTTTGAAAGTTTGAAATTGTACCATTGAACAGAGCTGTGAGGATCAGCCTTCAAGTATCAAAAGATGGAATTTAAGGGCAGTTGATCTCTGCTCATTTGAATCATTTGAATTTAGAAATAACTCTTTATGGAAGAAGTTACCATACCATAATGAATTTGGAAAGAAAAATAGAGTTTCACATTTTTAATAACTGCAGAATGCAGCCAGAGTAAAATGTTCTTCCCTAAATGCCATAGCAGCACCAGAGATTTCTCATTATCATTTTAATCTGATGGTTCAAGATTATAGTTTATCTTTATGTGTTTTTAAATTTATCTCAGTATTATAAGTATTCCATTTGTATATAAATTAAGATTGCTTTTTAAGATGTTTTTATGGTTTTAAGGTTCCAGTAGACACCAAAATGAATATAATTTGCTAACAGCATTTATTTTGTATGACCTTATCTTACAAAATTTAACCAAAAATCATGCTAGAAATTCATGTTTAAAAATTGTTGTTGCTTCCGGAGCCATACTGATCAGTCGTGTTCACTAACTGTTGTGTTGTTGGGCTATTAACAGTTCGCATGGACTCATGTCACTTTACTGATAACAGTCACTCAATCACATCTTGTCATCCAAAATCTATTTGAAGGCATGATATGGTAAGGGAACAGAATTGTGCTGCTTTATATTTATGTCATAGCATTTTTAAGGCTCTTTAGCATTGAACAGTGTCATAAAGATTTCTACTAAACTGTGCTATTTGTTGTCACTCTATTCCATTAAAATTCCTTACTAACTTTTGTTCATTTTAGTATTTGACATCGAAGACAAATGGAGAGTTAACTGGGAATACTCCTTATCAGGTTCCAAATAAAATGAAGAATGTCCTTATAAACATTCCAAACAATTAATTACATTTTCAGGTTTTACTACATTTTAATGTGACTTTCTTTTTACAAAGTATAGCTTATAAAAGAGCATATTATTTATGTGGAATGAAGAAAGAACATGAAAGTTTGCTTGCCAATAGTGTGCTGGCAATGCATTTTCTCTAAGTGAAAGTTGGGCAGGCTCTCCTCTGCCTGCAGGAGTAGCTCTTCAGATTTCAGATGTGTGGAGTTACTTGCTGTATAGCAGTGGCTTGCAGATTCAGAAAGCATTTTTTAAGTTAAAATTTAGTTTAAAATTATAAAAATTATTACTAGTTTAAAAAATAGAGTGGAGAAAATGATTTTAAGAAATCTGGCCATATTTTCCCCACATTTTTTAAAAAAGACATTAATTAAAACTCTTTACGAGCGGTTTTGTAAAAATAGTTTCCTTAACAGCTTCATGATTTTTAGCCAAGTATGTGTGTGTTTGTGTGTGTATACACACTTTTAATCAATGGGTGCAAGTTACAAGATTTGTGGATTCTGTATAATCAGTAGGGTTTAATGCAACAAAAGGCTAATATAGAATTTAAATTTTTCCTGAAATAGAATTTGTATTAAGAACTTGGTATTAATTTTTCAGATTATACTCTGTCTAAATCAAATGACTCATTTCCATTTTGAAAGGCTGCTTTTAAAAAACTCTTTATACTACATACCTTGGTCCTCATAAAACTGAAATTTAAAAGTCCATTGCTATAGAAGTTAATTATTTAATATTAAAATTAGGTTGACTAATATCTCCCATAGTACTATTCTTCTACTGTGTTTATTTATAGATTTTGCTCTACTTCAATGCTAAATGAGCAAATTTAGTTGATATTTGATGTTTTTAGTAATGCTTTGGCAAGTGTTACATTCTAAACTAGTATACAGTGTAACTCAAAGGGTTATTGTGCTGGTTCAGTAGGAGTCAGAAACTGTATATCTATTTATTTGCCACTTAATCATATGAACTTTTCTGACTCTTTTTTAGGTTCCTTGTCCCAATATCAAGTGTTATCTGCAACGACATAACTGCTTATCTTTTTGGATTTTTTTTTGGGAGAACTCCATTAATTAAGGTAATTTTAAAATATCAGAAGCAAGCCACTGCCTTAACCATAAAGGTTAGCCACAGGAGAGAATTTCCAACTTAGAGCTGATGCTCATTTTCGATTTCCATGGGGCTGGGATTTCCCTGAGCTGTGATCAGCAGTCAGAGGGCAGGGCCGCATTTCCTGTGCTGTCGCCTGGGCTCTCCAGTAAGCTTTCTGTTGGCTCCTCAATGTGCCCTCGACACCATCAGTTACTGTCTCCTATAAAGGCCCAGTGCCTCTTTCCACTGGTGTCTTCCTTCAGCTATTGTGTGGTTCTCCAGAAAAGCCTTTCTTTGACTCTGCTTCCCCTCAGGTCTCTCATCCGTTTGCTCCTTTACCAAACGTTTTGAAAGCGTACATTATACCATCTATACCTATTCATGTCCATTTGTAAGACTTTTACACCCAAACTTACTTCAAAAAAAAAATTAAGGCTCTACAAGAAAATATTGGTAACATAAGTAATAAGGAAAAGTACACGTGAGCAGACCATGTTGTTTTGCTTTAGATTTATTTGGTTCTTTTGACAGGAGGCAAAGAAGGAAATGAATGAAGTTATCAGTTCTCATTTGGGGGGAGAAAGAAACAAACCAGTTCTTTAAAACCCTTCCATAAATTCTTTACCACAGAGCAGCCCAGCACACGGCCTCAGGCTGAGCACTAGGGGTACAAGGAAACTATTCTCTCAAGTTTAACACTGCTTCAGCGCAAAAGCAAGTGATTAAAGACTTCTACACCAGCTGTGCAGAGTTTGGCTTAGGAAGCCTTTGGAGAGGCTGTTAACGGCTATAGAAGACTCTCATTGTCTGGTTTTGAACATAGATTTCTAGTGAATTTACAAGGCTGGATTAGTTACACAATATCTTCTGATGTAATTAAGGAAGTTCACCCCTAAATCAATATGCTATGGAACAATTTAATTTCATAAACTATCTTTAAAATAATCAGCAGACACTTTTGAATTTCAGTGAACACTCAGTTCATGACAATAATACTGAATTGTGTTAAGAGAAAGTGTATGCCATCCCTTTGCGATGTCAGGATGTCAGGAAACCATTTCTGCCAACCCTCTTGACTTTGAGCATTTTGAACATCACAGGAGGTCTAGAAAGAGCTCATGTAGCTCAGCTATTACCCATTTCTGTTTGCAGAAACTTCCCTGGGATATTCATTTGGCTTCTGCCACTGTTCTTCCACTGAAAGGTTCGTCACAGGAGCCGTCAGTGATCTGATGACCAGCTGCCTGTGCATCAGTGCTTAGGCTTTTCCGGGCACCCGAGGCAGTTACGCCGCCCGCTCCTCCATGTTTTCCTCCTGCCCCTGCATCACCAAGTTCCAGGCTTCTCTCCAGATTTCTCTGCCTGAATGCCTCATTGACTGAGAAACAGTTGCTCTAATCTGAAATTAACAGTCTCTATTCTTAGAAATACATTTTATTTCTTCATGGAGACATAGATTGTGACCAAAGGAAGGATATGCAAATACTTGGGGAGCAAATCTGTATCTGGGCCTGTGGACCGTTTTGCCATTTCAGAAGGAACTCTGTTGTCCACATGACCTTAGGAATACATGGAAATCTATGTGCTGCAATGTCTGTGTTTAGTTACCCTCATTCTATTTTTGCTGTATGTCTAATGTTTGAGGGCCTACTATGTGTTACATACTACTAGAGAAACTTGCAAATAAATTAGCATCATGGAAAGAGGAAAAAGGGTTGCAAAGCCATTCCAAGAAAAAAAAGCAGAGATGTACAAGGTACTGTGGGAAGTCACTGAACAGAGCTTGCCATGAGGATTGTGTGCTTTGTAAGTGCAGTAACTCTTTTTAACTTTATTTGCCTTTTCCAGTTGTCTCCTAAAAAGACTTGGGAAGGATTTATTGGCGGTTTCTTTTCCACAGTCGTGTTTGGATTCATCGTGAGTTTGATTAAGATTTTTATTTTATTTACATTTTGAAAAATGTTAACAAGTTTATCAGTCTATCCTAAACCTGAAAAAAAATAAATCACAAAATGCTAATAATGTATTTATTGAAACCCACTACACAGTCTATTCTGTACCCCACTAACTCTCCAAATCAGAACCACCTGGGGAGCGTAGTCAACGTCTCTGTTCCAGCCCTGGCCCAGGTCAGTCAACTGCCCCAGGTGGTTCTAATGTACCACTAGGCCTGAGGACCCTCTGCATTACTGTTGGGTTTTAGCAGTTTTGAGCAGCTGTTCCGCCTTGTGGGGGACACAGGTGCTGGGCCAGGTGGTGGCCTTGAGTAAAAGCAGAGAATACAAATGATTGGGAAGAGCTCTACCTCCTTTACACCTGGTACTACTGACTTAGCAAGTGTTTCCTGCTGTGAGACCAACATGCAGGAAAATTGATTAAAAATAATTGATACTCACTTTTACCTATGAATAATAGGTCTTGTTAATGTTTTAAAAATTAGTTTACAGTTATGGTGTGTAGATTTTTGTTAAAAGGCATCTCAAAGGACTCAATAAAGTAAAATGACTGGATATAAGATAAATATATATTTTAAATATTACTGTTGGGAAGTTTAAATTTTTAAGAGTGTAGTCCCTGACGGTTCTAGAATGTATTCCATAGCCAAATACAGAGTAACTCAAAACAACATGGAGTTCTGAAAGAGAGCAATTATACAAGTAAATGAAAATGTATCAGGTTCCTGGATGGGAAACTGTCATAATTTCTCTTTTTAATTTGCTAGTTTAGTTCATTCTCAATGAGAATTCCAATAGGATTTGATAAAATTAATCAGTGTTTATGTTGTAGAATATTGATAGATTAATATGTTTATACATTACAAAACAGGGATAATTAGAACATTATTAAGTTAAATAATACTATAACTTGGTATTATTAAAGACTAACTTAGAAATACCACAAGAATAGCCATATCATTGGAAAAAACATGAATAGCTACCCTGTAAGAATATAATACATGACAAAAAATATGAGGAAGAACATGATATATTTTTTAATAAATAATTTTGAGGAAACTGGTTAGAAGCAAAAATCAGTTTATTACCCTTCCTTGTGTCAGTTTGCACTTCTGTTAACCATTCTTGAGCAATATAATTGGGTGAATGGCTGCAAACGGGGAGAGAATAGACTGTTGTCTAACAATTTCAATTTAAAATAACATATTTTGATTTATGTATTTTCTTCCATGGCTAAGAACAGCTACATTAAAAATTGCAGTGATATGGTCAGGAAAAGAATAAAGTTTAGTCAAAGGTTTCTAGGTCAGGTAAGAACAATGGTGTAAGAACTTCAGTCCTTACTCTCCCATACCTCAATAATTGGTAGCTTCTACTAACATTAATGATGTGTGCTTTAGAAAAGTCAAATCTTGCTGTAATCCTTGTTTGAATGTTTAAATCAGCATCTTTGTCTCTTTCCCTTTCCTTCTTTTTGTTATGGTCGCATAGAGATAATCTCATTGATTTCCAAAATGCCTTTGGTTTTCCAATGACTTTTCATAATCTTTTATTGGATCAGGTTTCACTGTTGAACTTTGAGAATACATAGCAGAATGTGAATGCAGAGAAACTTTGGCATTCTATTTCTGGCCTTTGTGTTGATGCAAAACACACACACGTACTTTTTCATTTAATGTTTCATGAACTCTTGCTTTGTTATTCAGGCCGCCTATGTGTTATCCAAATACCAGTACTTTGTCTGTCCAGTGGAATACCGAAGTGATGTAAACTCCTTCGTTACAGATTGTGAGCCTTCAGAACTTTTTCAGCTTCGTAGTTATTCACTTCCTCCCTTTCTGAAGTCAGTGTTGAGACAGGTAAGATAAATCTGGGTATGGATCCTCTATCCCCCAAATTAAGATTTTTATAAGAAATTGATTTCTGTAGAATTTTTAATTATATAATACGTAAGTAGTTTATCTGCTTAGCATCATTAATATATTTTAGCAGTTTGTAAATTCCCTTTCTTGAACATAAAATGAATATTACTGTCATAAACCTATTGTTTATTAAGAATTTACTTGCCTAATGGTTTGAATACTGATGATAATTTATCTTGTATTTGTTTTGAAAATATTTAAAAATATTTCTTAGATCTCTAAAACTTGAATGAATTACAGTAAGTTTCACATGTAACTGGCAAGAATTGACTCAATTTAAAAATTAATTAAACTTCCAGCCAACAGGGAGGCATAGGTAGACACACTGTGCCTCCTTACACAACCAAAAGAAGGACAACAACAAATTTTAAAACAAAAAACAACCAGAGCTGACAGAAAATCAAACTGTATGGCAGTCTGACAACCAAGGAGTTAAAGAAGATACATTCATCTAGATTGGTAGGAGAGGCAGAGACAGGCAGCCAGGTGGAGAGGACTCTTGGTAAGTCTGCAGCTGGCAGACCCGGCCAGGTGGTGGATTCCGGACTGGGCAGTCCCACTTTCCCTTGCAGATAAACCAGGAGGAACAACTGGGGAGTTAGACAGACTGCACAACCCAGGGCTCCAATGCAGGGAATTAAAGCCTCAAGCCTCTGATTGAAAACACCTGTGCAGGTTGAGGTGGCAGCAGGAGAAACTCCAACCCTCACAGGAGAGTTCCTTGGAGAGACCCACAGGGTCCTAGAGTGTACACAAGCTCACCCACCAGGGAATGAGGACTAGAAGAGCCCAATTTGACTGTGAGTAGCGGGGGACGTGACTGAAAACCAGCAGAGAGCTGAGCAAGGCCATTGCTCCCTCTCGGACCCCTCCCCCACATGCAGCGTCACAGCTCAGCAGTGTGGGTTGCCACCCATTGGTGAACACCTAAGTCTCCGCCCCTTACTACATAACAGGCAGGCTGAGACAAAAAAAAAAAGTGGCCCAAATGAAAGAACAGATCAAAGCTCCAGAAAAAATATAACTAAGCGATGAAAAGATAGCCAACCCTTTCAGATGCACAGTTCAAAACACTGGTAATCAGGATGCTTACAGAATTGGTTGAATATGGTCGCAAATTAGATGAAAAAATGAAGGCTATGAAAAGTAAAATAAATGAAAATGTACAGGGAACCAACAGTGAAGGGAAGGAAACTTGGACTCAAGTCAACGGTGTGGACCAGGAGGAGGACAGAAACATTCAACCAAAACAGAATGAAAAAACAAGAATTCTGAAAAATGAGGAGAGGCTTAGGAACTTCCAGGACATCTTTAAACATTCCAACATCTGAATCAGATGGGTGCCAGCAGGAAAAGAGGAAGAGCAAGAAAGTGAAAACTTATTTGAAAACATAATGAAAGAAAAATTCCCCAATCTGGCAAAGGAAATAAACTTCTAGGAAGACCAGGAAGCTCAGAGTCCCAAAGAAGTTGAACCCAAGGAGGAACACACCCAGGCACATCATAATTACATTAGCCAAGATTAAAGATAAGGAGAGAATCTTAAAAGCAGCAAGAGAAAAGAGACAGTTACCTACAAAGGAGTTCCCATAAGACTGTCAGCTGATTTCTCAAAAGAGACCTTACAGGCAAGAAGGGGCTGAAAAGAATATTCCAGGTCATGAAAGGCAAGGACCTACATCCCAGATTGCTCTATCCAGCAAAGCTATCATTTAGAATGGAAGGGCAGATAAAGTGCTTCTCAGACAAGGTCAAGTTAGAGGAGTTCATCATCACGTAGCTGTTATTATGTGAAGGGTTAAAGGGACTTGTCTAAGAAAAAGAAGATGAAAAATATGAACAAATGGCAACAAACTCACAGTTATTAACAACCGAACCTAAAACAAAACCAAACACAAACTAAGCAAACAACTAGAACAGGAACAGAATCACAGAAATGGAGATCACATGGAGGGTTATCAGTGGGGGAGTAGATGGAGAGAGAGGAGGAAAATGTACAGAAAATAAGTAGCATACATGGTAGGTAGAAGATAGACAAGGGGAGGTTTAGAATAGTATAGGAAATGTAGAAGCCAAAGAAGTTATATGTACAACCCATGGACATGAACTAAAGGGGGGGAATGCAGGCAGGAGGGGAATAAAGGGGAGAAATGGGACAACTGTAGTGGCATAATCAATAAAATATATTTTTAAAAAATTAATTAAAATTCACAGCTCAAAAATTTCCTTGATTTTTTTCTTTAGGGGACCTTTACTAGTATAGAAAGCTACTGCTTCTAAAAATCAGTTTCCCAGGTAAAGGGATTAAACAAAACAAACAGAAGGAAAAATCTAAACTCATAAATGGACACAACAGTGTGGTGATTACAGGAGGGAAAGCGGGTGGAGAGGTAGAAGAGGGTAAAGGGCGGCGGACAAATGGTGATGAAAGGAAATTTGACTTGGGGTGGTGAACACACAATACAGTGTACAGATGAAGTATTATAGAGCTGTATACCTGAAACCTATATAACATTTTTAACCAATGTCACCCCAATAAATTCAATAAAAAAGTCATTTTCCCTTCCAAAAGCACACTGCTGCCATTTAAAGGCAAACTTGAGGTCTCTCACTAAGGATGGCAACATGCTGACTTGCAGAGCCCTGCTGAGGGATGCCGTCAAGACTGGAGGGCACTTACTGAGAATGAGGAAGCAGATAATTGTGTGTACACATGTGTACATGTGTATATCTGAAACATCTTAGCTAAAGTCCATAACTTTTGAGAAGAGGTTAACCAAAAATTTTTCTCTCCTTGGGTACTCTGTACATGGATCCCAAGAATTTTCTTTCAATGTCCAAGCCATCTGCTATCTGCTGTAAAACTTGATAGTGCCAGTCTTTGGTTAGGTCTGGAAGCAGGTCCAAAGATTGGTGTTCTCAATAATGGTTATAAAACCACACCCGCTGTGCACTGTCTACACTTTGTAGTTTCAGTTTATTTAAAGTGGAGCAAGAAAAGAAGTGGAGGAAGAACCAAGAATTTAGAAAACAACTGCAGAATTCTCAGTTTTTATGATCTCCACTAGTCTTTAATAATTGTCTTATGGATGCACATTTTGGTATACTTTTAAAAGCAACTAATTTTCCAACTTATTTTCATGTGTTTCCACAGCACTTAGTATTAAGAGAAAGATCAACTTTTCCCTCACTTTGTTGTATAAAATTAAAGTGAAATAAAATACAAAATTTAACGTATTATATAATTACAAAAACAAAGTGCTGCTGGTAAAAAACAAATTCAGAAATTGACTCAATTGATTCTTGATACGTGTACAACTCAAATGCTGTAGAAATTTCTGGGTGAACTGTGAAGCAGCCGGTGGGCCAGGTGCTGTGAGTGCTCGGGGGAACACAGCAGAGTGCTGGCTGAGGGGAGGGGGGCTGTGAGAGCTCCTGCTGTTTTTCTCCCATGATCCTGAAAGGTTGTGAAAGTAACAAAAATGTGGTAAATGCTTCGACTGACTGTTCATACCATGGTTCCTAGTGGAGGTGGCATACTCAAACAAATCTTAATGCGCTTAGCCCCAAGCCCTCTCCTCTTTTGTGCCCCTTTAAGGAAACAGTGAGCCTGTACCCCTTCCAGATCCATAGCATCGCTTTTTCAACATTTGCGTCTTTGATTGGTCCATTTGGAGGCTTCTTTGCCAGTGGATTCAAAAGAGCTTTCAAAATCAAGGTATATTTTTTGTTACATCATTAAAGAATATAATTAGATAATGTAATATAGTTAGAATTTGCTTCTCTATTGGTCTCACACATTAAGCTTCTGGGCAAAAACCATTAGTTTCAGCCTCACAGAAATGCTTCCTGGTTGATTTGAGTGTATTCTTTCTTGTTAGGTTTTGGTCAAGCCATGTCATGTCAGCCTCTTTTATAGAAATGGCAAAATGGCATGTGTTACTGAATGTTGGGACAGGCACACAGTCTTGGTCCTTCAGTGCTCATCCAAGAATCCAGCCAAGAATTGTCTGAAGATGAGTGCCAGTGTCACTTCGAGGAACAGACAGGGGAACCTTTGAATATGTAGTCTTCCATCCTCCTAGATCAGAGGCCAGCAAACTTCTTTTGTAAAATTACATTTATTAATTATATCTTAACTACTCAACTCTGAACTCTGCCATTGTTGTATGAAAGCCTGGCAGACAATGTGTCAATGAGTAAGTGTATTATTTACTTTGTAAATAGGTAATAAAACTTTATTTATGAAAACAGGCAGCAGACTTAATTCAATCTGTGGGACATAGTTTGCTGATCCCTGTCTCAGATACTTAAAATTACCCCTGTGTTCGTCCTGGCTGGTGTGGCTCAGTGGGGTGAGTACTGGCCTGTGAACTGAAAGGTCTCTGGTTGGATTCCTGGTCAGGGCACATGCCTGTGTTGTGGGCCAGTTCACCAGTTGGGGGTGTGCAAGAGGCAGCTGATCCATGTTTCACATACATCATCGATGTTTCTCTCCTTTCTTTCTTCTTCCCTTCCTCTCTTTCTAGAAATGAATAAAATCTTTTAAAAATTAAAATTGCCCTATGTTTTAAGTTAGATTCTCATAAAGTGACACATATTTACCCTATTATCTCAGCTTTCCTCACGTGGCTTCTCTAAGTTGATTCAGTGTTGTGCCATTAGAAGTTAGAGAGGGCAGGCCTCTCTGAGGTGGCATTTGAGCAGGGATCTGAGAAAAGGAGGAGAATGAGTCCTGCAGAGAAATTTAAGGAAGAGCATTCCAGTGAGTGCAAAGGCACAGAGGAACTAAGTTGCATGTTGAAAGGAGTAAGAACAGTGGTGCTGATCAGACTGCAGAAGCTGGTGGGGCCAGATTACGTAGGGCCCCAGAAGCCGGGGAAGTAAGTGAACTCAGTGAAGACTTGAAATGGGGCAGATAGTATGTAAAGTGAGATGCAAAGGTGTGTAAGATGATGTCCCTGTCCTCAAGATGCTCACTGCCCACCAGAGCAGTTAAGACTCGTCCACAAAGAACCACAGTAACAGTCATGCATGGCTGGTGTCCCGTAAGGGCTGCACACAGCAAAGGGGGACTGAGTTACCCTGGCTCTCTGTGCTTTGGTTAGTAGAGAAGAGAAGGAAGAAAATGTGTTGGCAAAAATTAACCAAAGATTTCTCAGAAAATTGTTTTAAACAGAAAAGTGTTATATTTAGAATGGTATTTTCTTTAATGGTCTCTAGTCCAAGGTTTCCTGTTGAATAGTGAGACTTTTTTGCATGTCTGCAATGAAGGTGTAATTGCTATGGCAGTTTAGATATTTTCAGGTTGTCTGAGTAAACTGGAAGAGGGAATTAGTCACAGCCATTTCCTGGACACTAAGAAATGTGCATATATCTGTACAATCAATTTGCAGAAGCTTACTAACCGTTCCCTCAATTTAATGGACTAATGTGTCCCAAATGAATTATCTATTTTGATTTTCTTTTTACTTCAACACTTAAAAAAAGAAGAAACATTTATCATAGTAATAAAATATTTATTTCAGAGTCAGAACTCTTAGGGTAAATATGAGTTAGAAACAGATGTACATCTGTCAATAGCATTAAAATAGCTCCCCAAAGAGTATCTGCTTAAACAGAAAATAGACCATAAAAATATTAGATTAGTAATAGCTGATGGGTCTTTTGATTTAGAAAAAGTTTTATTAAATAAGTGCCAGATTTAATTAATATTTAATTAGTGTTATTTGAATGTTTCTGGTTAATTCAGTAATTATTCTAATGTGGGCACGTATTCGTAAGATGTGGTTTTAATTTGTTAGACATGTTCTAAGAAGTTTGTACTTAGTGGGAAATTCCAATAGTAAAGTATTTTTCTTAGTGTCCATGATGCCAAAAAGACATTTTCAGCTAAGAGTTTTATAGCAATTGATCTTTTTGAAAATTTGCTAATCTGTTGGTTTGTTTTTGAAGGATTTTGCAAACACCATCCCTGGGCATGGCGGGATAATGGACAGATTTGATTGTCAGTATTTGATGGCAACGTTTGTGCATGTCTACATCACAAGTTTTATAAGGTACTTTGAGATTTTAAAAAAATGTTTTCATACTTGGTTTCTTGAATCTCTCATTCCATAGGCATCAGTTTGAATGAGTTATTTTTTTTGTCAGTGCTGACTGATAATATCAAAAGGGCACAGTGACCCCTGGAGCTGTGCCAGTCACACTGGAGCCTGAGCAGCATGGCTAAATTATAACTACTTTATGTACATTTGAACTGAAAAAAAGTAGTATGTCCTATGGTCTGTATAGGGCCAAGTTAAATCCATTTGCTATGGATGGTACTAGATTAGAACATCAGAAGATTTAATTTCTTAATTGTGGGTATGGCAATGATGGTGAATATAAAGAATTAAAAAGGCAGATATAGTACTTCACCCAGTTCACAAATTATTGCTTGAGGGCCTGTATATGTTGAGTAATGTTCAAGACATGAAGATAGCTAAGAGGAAAACAAACCAAGTCCCTGCCCTCAGAGCTTACATTCTTATTGGAGAGTTGGAGAGAGGGGACAGAAGTGGACAATAAACAAATAAATATAGCTTCTTATGTGGTTATAAGTGCCATAGAGAAAAATAAAACCAGCCAGGGGATTATGGTTGTGTGGGTGGAGTGGGGTAAGTGGAGGGGTATTGCTATTTCCTATAGGGTGGTTTCTTCTTGTTTTTAAAACTTAATATTTTAGGTCTGCCCTGAAATGCCCCTTTGGGGTGTGAAAGCTAACCACACATTAACTTCATTTTCTGTGTTTTCTACTAGTGCCTAAGAAACCATGGATTTTCTTCATAGACTCATTTGAAATGAAACCCATATTTATATATCTCTAAATACACATTTTAAATATATACCGATAACAGCATGTAAATTTTTGTATTAAAACTTCTTATTTTCCATGAATAGTGTTTTTAGGAATTTATCTATTTTTGCATAGTTGTTAGTTTATTTATTTCATTAATCTTTTCAAAGAGTCAAATTCTGGCATTGTGAACTTTATTGTATATTTTTCATTTTGCTGATGTCTGTTCTCATCTTTCATTCCTGAATCTTTCTTTAGGTTCAATTTGCTATTCCTTCTCAAGATTCTAGAGATGAAGCTTACATTATTGATTTTCAGCCTTCTTGTCTAATATATTCATCTACGATTATAAATGTCCTTTAAAGTACTGCTTTATTCTCATCCTAGATGTTGTATTTGTATTTTCATTTTTCCATTACAAATGTTTTCTGATTTCCAGTATTATATCTTCCTTGACATGTGGATTATTTAGAACTATATCGATTCATTTCCAAACAAATGGAGATTTTTCTCATTCTCTTTCCTTTGTTGGGTTTTGCCTTAATTCCACTACGGTCAGAAAACACTCTATTATATCAGTATTTACCATCAGTTGAAACTTGCTTTATACATCAGTATATCGTCTATTCAGGAAGTTGTTCTGTGCATACAGGAAACAAATGTGCATTCTGCCGTTTCTGGTCTGTGTATCATGTGTGTCAGTTGGGTGAAGTTTAGCAAAATCCATACTGATCTTGTGTTTTTTTCTGTCCTCTTACTCTCTCAGTTTCAAAGAGAGAGCTTTGTCAAAAAATCTCCCACGATAATTGTAGATTTACCTATTTCGACTTTCAATTGTTTTTGCTTTATATATTTTGAGTTTGTATTAAATATATACACATTTAGGCCTGTCATATCTCCCTGTTGAATCACTCTGAATGTCATTATAAAATGTCCACCTTTATAAACTACTTGCTTAAAACTATTTTGTTGGCTATTAGAGTAGCTACATCAGCCTCTTTTGGTTAGTGTTCGCATATATTTCTCTGTCCATCATTTTATTTTTTAGCATTCTTTTATCCTTATATTGAAAGTATGTTTTTCTTTTCTAACAAGCATACAGCTGGATTTTGTTTGTTTTTTTATAGCCCAGTTGACAATCTTTGTCTTTTTATTTGGAGTATTCAGTCTGTTTCTGCTATGTATTAACTGATATATTTGAGTATTAGCCATTGGTAGTTAAGCCCTCAGGACTCTTTTCAGCAGATGTCCGCTTTTAGGGCATCAACTTACACCCTTCCCCTCCCCGCCCCTCCTCTCCTCTCCTCTTCTTGAACCTTTGTTTCTCCCAGGAGGGAGAAGTCATGCTGAGCCATGCTGTGTGCCATTTGAAAGCAAATATTTAGACTATTAGAAATACAATGCTAGTGCCAGAATGCAGCCAGCTGGGAGCACCTGCTGACAATTTTGCATTTAGCTGAACTTGCTAGAAAAGCCTTCCTTTTCTCTGTGGGCCTTTACTTGGGGTTTATGTTATGAAGTTGCTGAGTCTTTTGAAGAAATATTAGACAAGCTGTGTCCTGACTTGAGAAAACTGGGTCTGTGAAAGGCACGTGGCCACAGTTTCCTGGCATCTGCAGGAAGGTGGCCCCTGGGATGGCTGCATCCGAGTCCTGTGAGATTTTTGAAATCCAATATCCTCCTTGTGAGATCACTATGTAGCAGGCATTTCTGTTTTGCTAGGTAGTCTACTTCCCATGATTCCATTTGAACTGAACAGTTCTTATTATAAGTCATAAATTTAATTACCCCTGTAAATGCCTTTCTCTGTACCATTCTGCAAATGTTACTTACGTCTTTTTCCCATTGGATTTTACAAGCTGCTCTTCACAAAAAAGTAAACCATACTCTTCTATTCCAAGTGAACTCTAGAAATGTCAAAGGATAATATACATACATTGAAATCTGAATTAGGTTCATTCTGAATTTGACAAAATAGCACTTCAGAAGATCACACAAGTGATCTCCAGTTTATAAGTGGAGAGCCCAGGGGGTGTCATAGCAGGGAAAGGCGAGAGGGTAGGAGTCCTGTTCTGGCTTTTTCTGACTCAGAGTGCACCAGTGAAGGGTGGGAAGACAAGGGCTGGAGCAGGAATACTGGAGGAGCTCACCTAAAGGGAACCCTCAAGAACAGGTCCCTGTGCTGGCTGTAGAGAGTGCATCACATCACTGGCCTTGGACACTTCGATTAACCTGGGCTCATCTCCTCCCCACCGGGACTACTGGGGGCAATGGGTGAGGGAAGCAGACTGTCCTCCTCCTTTCATTTAGAGCAGAGCCCTGTTCTTTTGTTTCTTATAATGGAGTTTACCTAAGACTCTCTTTGAACAGTGGTTGTGGCACCTGCTGGCGATGCCAGGTAGGAATTCAGGGCCAGGCTCAGAATCCATGCCTGCCTCTTGAATCTTCATAGTTCCCTGGGGTGTTTCTTCAACAAAATACCTTCCACTTCTGACATTTCTTTTAAGCTAACAAGTGAAAGAATATTTTCATACCAACCTCCCCCCTCCCCATCCCCCCCCCCCCCGCAGAAATTTCACTTCTTTCCTTACAGGATAGTTTTTGTGTCTTGGTCAATCTCAGGATTCGTTACCCATCCCCACCTCTAATTTGCAGGTTGCCCTTCTAAGGCTTTTTGTACAGCTCAGATCTGCACCCCTGTATTGCCTAGTATTGTTCCTGGGTTTGTGTTTGTGCATTTTTACCATATCTAGACTGTGTGCCTCTGAATAGAGAATCATTTGGATTTACTTTCCTGCTATTGACACTATCATTGGGCATTCAAGTGAGCTCTGGATCAAGAGTTATTTCAATTCTGTAAAGACTGATCCTCTACAACTTAAATGCAGGGTTTATTTTAAATTGTGGGTATATGCTTCCTTTGGCTCTTTTAAAGTAATATGAACTTTCCTTTTTGCTTTGTTATCAGGGGTCCAAATCCCAGCAAAGTGCTACAGCAGTTGTTGGTGCTTCAACCAGAACAACAGTTAAATATATATAAAACCCTGAAGACTCACCTCATTGAGAAAGGAATCCTGCAGCCTACCTTGAAGGCATAACTGGATCCAGAGAGGAAAAGGCTGAATCGATAATAAAGAATTCTACAGAAAAGCTCTGACTGATGAAATTTTGTAAATATATGGAAAAGGGTTGAAAAGGAAATAGATTGAAGATTTACAGATATGAGTGTTTCTTCTCTGAAATTGCTGTGAATACTGAACAAACACTTACTTGATCTAAGTTAAGAAATATGTAGCAAATCATCACCAAAATATCCTGTACTTTTTCTAAAGTGTATTTTCTGATGTGAACTTCCTTTCCCTTACTTGCCATTTTCACAATTCAAAAGACTTGTTTTAAAGAGTCAAATACTATAAAATGAGTACATTGAAGAGGTCTTAAGAGTGCTTCTGGTAGTGTGCCCTTTGCACAAATATTTACTTTTGCACTTGGAGCTGCTCTCAGCTTTAGCAGAATGTTTTACGTAAGGCACAATAGGAAGCTAGTTCTCCTCTTTTAGTTTGAAGTATTATGTGAAGGGCTGAGTTGTATCCAAAAAAAAAAAAGTTGTCTACTTTTCAAAGTAAGTAAGTAATCATTTGCTGAAGGAAAACTTTCCACTTCAGGTAGGTTTGAAATTCAAGGGAGGTAGGCTGAAATTTCTAACTTTATTGGCTGACATCAAACTCTACTTCTGATAAAGTTGTTTGCAAATGTAACATCACAAAAACTTTTCAAGGGGAACAAAGGAGAGCTCTGCTATGAAGAGCATAATGTATGTATCCTCCACAGATTATCAACAGATGACAGTAGCTCAGGAGACAGCATAAGACAATGACATATGGCACAGGCTACCTCTTGGTCAAGTTCTGCACTTTTCCTTGTGAACTGGTTTCTGTAGGTTTTGTAGCCACGAGCACAAAAGATCAATGTATAGGGGAGTAAGTAGGGGTGCGGCAGAGGCAGAGAAGAGGGTGCTCAGCTCATCGAATGACCCATCTCTGGATAAGGCTCTGCATGTTGGTGTCCTGGGTGCCTCCCTCCCAGTTTCCTATGCAGCCCTTGGGACACTCACCTGGCAAGAAGGGAGACCCAGCCTCAGACTCACTCCATGGTAGCTGCTAATCTCTGACCCTTTCCTCTCTCTTATCATGTCATAAAACCTGAGGACATCAGCTGATGATATTTTTCTTCCAAGAATGAAAATCAAGCAGGAAGTGATGCCCACCAAGAACAAAAGCACACGAATGCCAAACCCTTCTCTGATGGACTGGACACTGTAACTGGATGAGAACAAGTTTCTTAGCAGTGAATGTAAATAAGCTAATGTTGCTGTGTGTTCTTTATAACCATACTTATTTTATTGAAGAGTCAGCAATAAACCTTTGAAAATTGCCTATTGTTCCTTAGCTAAATGTTCAGAGGAGAAATAGATATATTTTAAAGAATGTTTTACTAATGAAAAGAGTAAATATTTTTGTTTAAATCAGAAACAAATTTCAATTATTTTATATTTCTGTTCTACTATACCTGCAATCAAAGATTGTAGCTATGCCTGGGTTCCACTATATTCCTGGGTTGTAACTATAACTAGCAGCTTCATCATGTGCAGTACATGATTATAGTAGATATAGTTAAACTCAGTACTGAGAGTCTGTTTGCTTGGTTTGGCATGCATTCAGTCAATTCATCACAATTGGATGTATTTAGTCAGCATTATTTCACACTATTCCATAAAAACCTAGAACTGACATCAGAAATGTTATTACAAGAGGAAACGATCACTTTTAAAATTAGGCTACCTACAAGTTAATTTTCATCATCTCTCATTATTTGCCTCATAAAAGCTGCACATGTTGATCATAAAAGAATTTAGCATACCAAAGTTTAAAAGTAAAATGAAAATTTTGTAATAGTAGCTCACATTGAAAACTTGGTGATTTGCACAATAAGAGCTCCTTGGAGATACACAGTTCCCTTGCATTTTCTTTAGAGTAATTGGTGAGACACTGCAATGCAGAATTATCAGAGAGCATCACTGAATACATGTTCAGTGATAAAATCAATATTATAATAAGCTAGAAATATTTGGGGTCACAGTAATAGCTTTCCTCAGATATACTTTTAGAATTGGGTGTACATTATTCTATATGTAAAAAAAGTAAATTCTTTTAACAGAACTCTAACTTTTTAGTGTACTTTTATAACATGTATATTAAAATAGAAGATATTTTATCAAAGATAGCCATAAAACCCTGACTTAAATCCTTTTTATATTTGCACTGTGAGGAGGGCTTGAATTCTAGTATAGCAACATGGTGACAGAAAAATGAAAGACTAGGAACTTCCTTCAAAGTAATGACTAGTTGTTCCAAATTTGCTATTTTCAAAGGGACTCTAATGGTACTAATCGCTTAACATTTAATCTGTGGATGAAAATGTTTCCTTGGTGTTTTTCCTTTTGTGGTGGTACGTATACATTTACTGTCTGAAAATAAAAAGACCACACCTATCCACCGTTTTTTTTATTTACTTTGATTTGAACAAAGATAGTATCACCTTGTTCAGTGAAAAAGAAAAATTCAAAACAATGTACATATATTGTGTATGGACAGGAGATAGCTTATGATATGTGTCAATCAGTTCTTGAATCTTTTACTGAAACAGGAAAATAAAACAAGTAAATCACATTTTGACTTTGTTGTGCCATTTTGTCATTGGAGAAGAAATGTTTCAAGCATTTACAAAATAATGATGGATAAATATAAATACTGTATATTGTATATTTTCCATCACCAGTACCTACAGTGACATATTCAGGGATGGGGATAACTAAATTCTGGTGAGGACTGAACATGTGTGTTTGCCGAGAGGTGACATCCTTTTAATAAAGTACTGATTTTTAAGATAATTTTATTTTTTAATTATATTCTATTGCTTATGCTGTTACAGTTGTCCAGTTTTTCCCCCTTAATCCCCCTCCGACCAGCACTCCCACTCCCTCAGACCATCCCCACACCATCGTTCATGTCCTTGGGTCATTGTGTAAGTTCTTTGGCTACTCCATTTCCTAGGCTGTACTTTACATCCCCATGGCTATTCTGTAAAGAGTAAGTACTGAATTTCTATGTCATTTGCCACAGTTATACATGTTTACTTTTGTGACTCCGATCTAGTCCCCACTAGATCCAGTCCCACTAGAGCTTTAAATTGTGTGGATGCCAAATGGCACCTGTTTTGACTGGCTATTGTGTTCTCTGTGTCTGGATGAATCCCAGCACTCCCTAGCCCCTCAAGCTTTGGAACAAACTAATGGGTTTGGAGTCTTAAGACTGAACTGTGCACATTCCCACTTGTGTCTCTTGAACAGCCTTTCCCTGCCCAACCCATTTTTTTAACAAAGCTTTGAGATTGGCTTCATAATTCCTATTGTAGGGGTCCCTTTAAGGGTTAAGTAAAAACTTATGAGTGGGCCTTGATTTGCGTCCAGCCTAGAGGAACTGATTAGTAATCCTGAGTTTCTTTTCCTGCTCTCTCCTCCTCTCTTTTTGCCCATCTGCTGTGGGAAGTGGCAGGTTGGTAGAACCGAACAGAAAGGTTGCCAACAGAGGGGATGTAACGGTGCAGCCAGCCACCCCCTCCCAAAGAGGGATTTGTAACCAGGTCTAGAACTTGGGGTATCCTGGAAATATAAAAAATGTAGGATATCCTAACCCCCACAAATCTGAACCGAGGGATGGGACACATGTAGCAGGGCCATTGAGAGTTATTTTGCATATCAGCAGTTGTCCAGCTTCCTACCTGACATGCAGAAATGGTTACTGTACATATCTAAAACAGCTGGCTAGCTTCATAGGTATGTTAAGTAGATGTGGCCATGCTTTGAGCCAGAAAGATGGGAGTGACTTGGACCTGTGATGTAACTGGGAGGAAGCTCCCCTGGTTACAAAGCCTACATAAGAGCTTGGAGATTGTTGGCTCCATGCCACAGGGCCAGGCTTGCCCGGACTTACTATGGCAACCCAGAAAAGCTGGAATAGTATGGGAATGCTGGCAGGTGTAGGCGGTTGTGGGAGGAGTCGGAAATGGGGCTGCAGAGGAAGATTTGTGCTGGAATTTGTGCAGGCATGGCAGCCATGCAGGTGGGCCACATAGGTTTGGGGGAACCATATGGTTTTGGGGCTCCCTAAATTGTGCAGTTTAGGAAGCAGGAAAGCAAAATGTAGCAGCCATGTAGAGCTCTCTGTCTCTCAGCAGTTAGGAAAAATCCAGGAGAGAGTTGCAGGAAGGTAAGGGGTGAAAGGACTCTTACTGGTGGGCCATGAGAAAGTGCCATGTAGTTTTGGACTAAGAACTGGAGATCTTGGTGACACAGCTAATGGTGCTGGGAACTACAGGAGGCCTGCCAGCCAAGCATGGATTACTTGGAAGAACCATGGGCTAGCTGAGCCAGAGACTTCCATTTTTTCCCTGAGATATGGTACCCTTGACCGGGCAAAGTGGGGAAGGAAGGACTGTGTGTTCATGGGTGTTTTAAGGGACTTTGGAATTATAACAAAGACATTAAGTCATTACTCTAAGTCTATGTAACTTTTGAATAAATAGTTCCTTTTCACCAAACTCTGACATTAAAAGCTATAATTCCTAAGGGCAGTGGGCAAGGTCAACCTAGTACAGGAGAACCCCAGGATAGAGGGGGGTCCATTTGGTAACAGTATCTTGTCCCCCCCTCCCCATGGGTCCATTCTGTAACAGGGAGAACCTTAAATCATCAGGTAACATTGAGATTCACTGAGTGAGGGTTGACGAATGGATAATTATCTGATGGTGATAAAGGTAGTGTTCAAAAGCAGCAGAGAGAATACAGCCTGGTTCTCTAATGTGTACAAAGGACGTGGATGGGTAAAGTAAGAGCCATGTTGCTCAGAGGGAAAATCATTGAGTGGCAGTCCAGCTGAAGGTATCTTAGTGAGTGAATGAAATCTCAAACTTATAGCACAACAGGGTATGGGATTTGGAATTGAAGTCCTCAGACCCTCCTCTCCACTGTGCACTCAGCTGGAGTTTAAGGAATCCAGGTGGTTTTCTATTCAAGAATGTACAATACCAAACTTCTGACAGAACCTAGAAGAGTAATAAGTTTGAAGAACATATTTGAATAATCTAGTATATTTTTACCAGTTTTCATAAACCTCAAAATCTTATGAAAGTAAACCAGAGGCTTCCCCTAGTATAGGTAAGACATATTTGAGGGATGAGTCCAAGATGGCAGCATAGGTAGCCACCGAGCTTGCCCCCTTCCAGGAATACGTCAAATGTACACCTATAGTTAGAGCAATTCCTCCGACAGACAACTGTGAGTCAACTGAACAGCTGCATAAAAAGCAAGAAAAAGGGGTGCATAGAGGTCAGGAAACCACAAGAGCTCTCCAGGAGTTGAGGGACCCAGGATCAGAGGAACTGGTGAGCACCACTGTTTACATTTCCCTGGCACATGGATAAAGGGCAGGAGCTGCATCCAGTTTCTCTTGCCAACCTGCAGGGCACTGTAGTGTGTCCCCAGCCACCCGTCTGTAGCTAGAAACAGGAGGGAGCTATAGTGCACACAAGGTGCCCCTCCACCTGAAAACTGATTCAGCAGGCACAGCAAGGTGCTGCTGTGTGCACAAGGAACTCCCCAGCTGGAGAGAATGTGGAACTAGAAAAATGCTGTGATGCTTGCAGGGGATACCCTGCCCAGATACTACAGAGATAGTGGGGCCCTATGTACTTATGTGGGGCTGACCCTCCTGGAGAGAGTGTGGAACTAGGAAAACTTTGCAGTACCCACATGAAGGGCTACCCCTTGTAGAGTAAGTGGGGTATTGCTGTGTGTATGCAGGGTTGCCCTGTCTGGAAAGCATGAAAAACTATCTCAATACAGCTCAGCCTACACTCAAGACTGCTCCACCCAGTGAAAGGGTGGAGCTGGTAGGGCATTGAAAGGAAGACACTCAGAGTGGCCCTGCCCATACCCTGTTCTGACTGTGGATATTTAAAGCAACACAGCACTCACACAGGGCTGCTACTGTGGACAAGGGCACAGCTGAATGCACGAGGAGCTGCAATGTCCAGATGGGGAGCAGAGGTGGTGGCATGTTGAGAGGCAAGCATACAAAGCAGCCCTACCCAGACCTTGTTCTGATCACAGACAGTTAAAGCAACAGGGCATGCCATGGGCGAACCAAACAGCTCCATCTATATTAGGTAGTCTGACCCAGATTAGAGGGCAAGAAAGCATGCACACACCAGGCTGCCCCACAGAGTTAAAAGCCCCAGAGCCAATTTTGTTAAGCAACCAAGAAATAGCCAACCTATCAGATGCACAGTTCAAAGCACTGGTGATCAGGATGCTCACAGAATTGGTGGACTTTGGTCATAAATTAGATGAAAAAATGCAGATTGCAATAAGTGAAATGAAGAAAATGCACACAGAACCAATAGTGATGGAAAGAAAACTGGGTTTCAAATCAATGGAAGGGACCAGAAGGAGGAAAGGAACAATCAAACAGAAAAGAATGAAGAAATAACTAAAAAAATGAGAAGAGGCTTAGGGACCTCCAGGACACCTTTAAATGTTCCAATATCCAAATTATAGGGGTACCAGAAGGGGAAGAGGAAACACAACAAGTGAAAAAGTTATTTGAACAAATAATAAAGGAGAACTTCCCCAATCTGGCAAAGGAAATAGACTTCCAGGAAGTCCAGGAAGCTCAGAGAGTCCCAAAGAAATTGGACTCAAGGAGGAACACGCCAAGGCACATCATAATTACATTAGCCAAGGTAAAAATGAAGGAGAGAATTCTAGAAGCAGCAAGAGATAAGGGGACAGTTACCTACAAAGGAGTTCCCATCAGACTGTCAGCTGATTTCTCAAAAGAGACCTTTCAGGCAAGAAGGGGCTGGAAAGAAGTATTCCAAGTCATGAAAGGCAAGTACCTACATCCAAGAATACTCCATCCAGCAAAGCTTTCATTTAGCATGGAAGGGCAGATAAAGTGCTTCTCAGATAAGGTCAAGTTAAAGGAGTTCATCATCACCAAGCCCTTATTGTATGAAATTTTAAAGGGATTTATCTAAGAAAAAGAAGATAAAAAATATGAACAGTAAAATGACAACAAACTCACAGTTAGTAATAAGCACACCTTAAACAAAAGCAAACTAAGCAAACAAAGAGAACAGGAGCAGAACCACAGAAATGGAGATCACATGGAGGGTGAGCAACAGGGAAGTGGGAGAGGGAGAGAGGGGGAAAAGATATAGAGAATAAGTAGCATAGATATTAGGTAGAAAATAGGGGGAGGGCAGGAATGGTGTGGGAAATATAGAAGCAAAAGAACTTATGACACATGGACATGAACTAAAGGGGAGAATGTGGGTGGGAGGGGGTGGGCAGGGGGAGGGGAGTGAAGGGGGAGAATGGGACAACTGTAATAGCATAGTCAATAAAATATATTTTTAAAAAATCTTAATGAAATGGAGATAAGTAATTTACCCAATAAGGAATTCAAAGAAATGGGACTTCTGTTGAAGATGGAGGTGGAGGTAGATACACTTTGCCTCCTCACACAACCAAAAGGACAACAAATTTAAAAACAAAATTAACCAACACTGCCAGAAAATCGAACTGTACAGAAGCCTGACAACCAAA